CTGCTGGGTGACCGCTGGATCCTGACAGCTGCTCACACCATCTACCCGAAGACCCACAGCTCAGTGACAGAGATAGGTGGGAGGATGAGCCTTGCTGAGGTGGCTAAGAAGATCGACGTGTTCCTTGGCCATACGGAGGTGAATAAGATCCACGAGCTGGGTAACCACCCCGTCCGCAGTGTGTCCATGCATCCCAACTACGACCCTGATGATGAGAACAACTTCAATGGGGACATTGCACTGATCGAACTGTGGGACCCAGTGCCACTGGGCCCCGACCTGCTGCCCGTCTGCCTCCCAGATGCTAGTAACAGCACTTTCTACGCCAACGGCTACATGGGCTACGTGAGCGGCTTTGGGGTGGAGAAAAACGTTCTCGCAGACCGGCTGAAGTATGTATCACTGCCAGTGGGTGACCAGAGATCCTGCAAGAAATGGCTGCAGGGAAAGGAGGTCAATGGGAAGCCCATGGTGTTCTCTGAAAACATGTTCTGTGCTGGCTCGCCCAGTGTGGGGAAAGATACCTGCCAGGGGGACGATGGGAGTGTCTTCACTGTGAAGGATTCAGAAAGCGAGCGCTGGATAGCCACCGGGATTGTCTCCTGGGGCATCGGCTGTCACAAGAGCTATGGCTTCTACACCAAGGTCATCAACTACCTGGACTGGATCAAAGAGATAACAGGGATGTAGAGGCTCCGAATGCCACTATCTTATTGGCTGAAGGCTCAGTGATGTCATGTAGGTATCCGAACACCCACATATCATTGGCTGAAGCATCGTGATGTCTTAAAAGATCGTGATGTCAAAACTGCCATAGCAATGGCTGAATTCTTGGTGAGATCATCAAAGCTTCCCAAAGCCTCTGTGCCATTGACTGAAGCTTTGTTGATGTTCTAATGTTTCTAAAAGCACCTTCACTATTGGGTGAAGCCATGAGAATGTCAGGAAGTCTTGTGAAATCCAACATGCTATTGGCTGAAGCCTTGGTGATGTCATAAAGATTTCTGAAATCTGTGGCACTATTGTTTGAGATGCTTGCAGTGTGGTAGAGCTTCCTGGAAGGTGCTGAGTGCAGATTGTACTCATGCCTTGGCACCAATGAGGTTCTGTCAATATTAAAATCACTACTATAGGAACCAGCTGATTTTATTTCACTGTCTTCCACTCCCACCCAGATTTTTTAATGATTAAAAAGCACCTTCCTCCCACCAGGTTCTTAAAGAAACTTGCAGGCTGTGCCTCTACAGAGATTGCTTCATCCAGACTGAAATGCAGCCCCCTCTGGAGTAGGGTTGCCAGGCATCCAATTTTTTACTGGAATGCCTGCAGCGCCTGTGGAGCAGGCAGGCTCGGTGCTTGGTTCTCTGTGGCTTCCGGGAAGTGGCAACATGTCTCTCCAGCTCCTAGGCGGAGGGGCGGCCAGGGGGTTCCATGCACTGCCCCCATCCGCAGTTCCTGCCTCTGCAGCTCCCATTGGCTGGGTTTCCTCTCCCTGCTTTGCTGAATTAGGCTCTCCGGCTTCTTGCAGCACACACACACACAGGTAGGGCCACACCCTGCTGCAGACACAGACTGATGTGAGCTCTGTGTGAGAGGGCTCCTCCCAGACTCACATGCACACCCCCTTTGGGAGATAAGCCCAAAATGTATAGAAAATTCTGCACAGTGCAGGCTTGTAAAAATGCACCCTCAGCCTGGTGAAAATGAGCGAGTGAACGAGGGTGGGGGACAGCGAGTGACAGAGGGAGGGGGATGGACTGAGCGGGGGTCGGGGCCTCGGAGAAGGGGTTGGGCAGGAGTGGGGCCTTGGGGAAAGGGACGGGGCAAGGGTGTTCAGTTTTCTCCAATTAGAAAGCTGCAATTTCAGTTAGACATATTCCTGGAGGTTTCATCACATGACCTAATCTTTAATGAAAGATTAATTTTTATTTCCTGGAGACTCCAGGACAATCCTGGAGGGTTGGCAACCCTACTCTGTATAGCATCTGTTGAATAGTCAAACAGCAACACTGAACAGCATTTAGGACAGATTAGAAGGAATTCAGTGACAATCCGAAACTGTAAGGAAGCAGAAAGGAATTGCCTGAATCATGCCATGTTCAGGACCCAGGGATTAACAGCACAGCTCATGGAGGAAAGAGCCAAGGAATCTGTAGTGACCACCAGGGGCTAGGACTTTGATTTTACACACCAGATGAAATGTGCAGCATGGCACCCCCTCCCATCACACTGAGGCAGTGGGATATTAGTACTGACTCAGATGGGGAGAGCACCCCTGAAGCATTGTGGGTATTCACTGGAGATCTCCCATCTAAGTACTGAACCAGCCTACACCTGTTTACATTGAAAAATATAATGGCCTGGCTCACCCATAGTCATAGAGTTTAAGGAAGGCCTGAAGGGACCACCAGATCTTCTGGTATGATCTCCTGCACATCACCGGTCAAAACCCCACCCAGTTACCCCCTCTTTCAGTCCAATAACCCGGATTAGATTAAAGTATTTCAGCCCTCAAGAGACTAAACTATGGTAAGCCACAAGCAGAGAATAGGAGAGACCAAGGTTCCACCAATGCCTGAGGCCTGCACTGTGTCAGGGAACTGACTAGGTGACATATACACAGCTGAGTCCAGCAAGTGACCCACGTCCCATGAGAAAATTCCTTCCCGGCCCCATATATGATGATCAGTTAGACCCTGAGCATGTGAGCCAGAACCTGCCAGCCAAGCACCTGAGAGAAAATTCTTAGTACCACCTCAGAGCACTGGCCCACCCTGTCTGGTGTCATATATCCTGCCATGATCCTCTCTGGTGCTTCAGAATAAGGAGACAAAAATAAAACAGACTACATCAGGGAAAAATCCTTCCTGACAAAATTTCCTTCCTGCCCCCCCAACAGCTATTTTCTACACCCTTGTTCTCGTGCTGCTGAGTGTCTCTGGTGACAGTCTCATAACCAGGGTGATGTTCTCCAGTTCCAGTTCCCTCTTTCCTCCTCTAATTCTGCTATCTTCTTAGCCAAATGTCCCTACATCTCCTCCTTTATCAAATCCCTGCTGCCTCTTCACCCCCTTGGTCTCCTTCCTCAGATCCTCCCTATCCTGTTCCAAGGCCAGAAGGGACAATTGTGATAATCTAGTATGACTTCCTGTAGAACACAGGCCATAGAACTGCCCCAGAATAATTTGTTTTGAACAAGAGCCTAATCAATAAGATCTAGGATGAACTCCCCACTTTCCAGTACACTTTCCTCCTTCTCCTCTGTCACACACTGAGACATCCTTCCTGCTGTCCTCCTCTAGCCCCTCTTCCATTCCTGCCCACGTGACCCCCTCCTAACTCCCTCACCCCCTCTCACTCTCCTTTTCAGTCTCTCTCAGCATGTGCCTTTCTCTCCGAGTACAAATATGCTTTGGTCTCCCTATCTTATAAAAATAACCACTGTCGTAGTTCCGGGCTAGCTGTGCCTCTGTCCCCTCATGTGTTCTCTTCTGAGTGCTCCCCCTCCAGGTCTTAGGCCTCGAGCCTTCACCTCTCTAGGGTGGAATCCTGCGTTTCTCCCACTCTTAGATCAGTGTCCCAGGCTTTGGGTATCAGCTGTGCTTCCCTCCAACAAGTGCCACTTGTCTTGGTATCTGCAGTTCTTTCCTCCAGGAGCTTGTGACCGGCCATGAATACAGTGATCCCAACCAGCCTTCTTAGAGTATGGTTTAATCAGAAGAGTGGGACCACAGCATAACAGGAGAAAAGGATTAAAACAACAAAAAGCCCAAATGCATCTCTATCTTACCTAAACCTTAGGTAGGCCTTACTTTTCCCAGATACCCCAGCCTCTGGAGACTGGGCTTCAGTCTGCTGTCAGCAGACTCTGCCTCCCTCCAAGGAGTGGAGGATTGTCAAGCTCTGTGCGAGGGACCCCAGGAGGACAGCACAGAGGAGGAGATGCAACTTGCCTTTTATGAAGCCATCGCAGGTAGTGTTAGAGGCAGTGAGGGGTGCTGTGTTGCTGGAAGTGCCATCCTTCCTGCTCTGGACACATTGCCATCTCCCAGCATCCCGGTCTGTCTTTCTGACATTTCTTCCTGTCCAGTTGTCATCTTAATTTCAACTTGACCAAAACTCACTCTTTCTCCCCCCAGTCTCCCTTTCTGTCCCCTTTCTCCATCACCACGGACAGCCTCACCATCCTCCCAGTCATTGAAGCCCATAAGCCAGGGTCCGTCTTTGAAATACCCCTCTCACTGGACACACATGTTCAGGTCATTTTTAATCTGGCCCCTTTTTCTCAAACGACATCTCTAAAATCCGGGCTTTCCTCTCTGTCCCCATGGCCAAAATCTCGCCCCACCCCCCTCATTTCACAACCTGACTATGGTGACCTCTTCTTCTCCAGCCCTTCCTCCTTTCAAGTCTGTTAAGAATGTTGCTGTTAAAATCACCTTCTCGGGGCTCTGGCCATGTCAGCCTCCTCTGGGCATCCCTCTGCCGGCTCCCCTTGCACCTCCTCGTCAGATACAAACCCCTTGGCTTTCCCAGTAAGGCCCTTTGTGAGTTAACTCTGCCCTACCTGGCTGATCTACTGAGACTGATCCCCATGGTCGCTTTGCCAGAATTCCCACCACCACCAGTCAGTTTCTCCCTTCAGCCCTGCGTGCTCCCTCCCACACTTCCCCCTGTGCATGGGGAAAACACCTGGGTAAAATCCAAACTGCAACTGCCTCATCCTCCTCCAGTCCCCTCACCCCAGGCCTCCCAAACCCAGCCTGTTGATCACGGCCAGGCAGGTGACAAGCTGTGACAGTCTCTCTTTCCCATCCTTCCCTTCTCCTGCTCCTGTCCTCCCCCTCCCCCCACAACCTCCTAACCCCACTGAGAAAGCTCCTTGGAGCTAGCAAACTGAGCCAGTTCTTCCCTAGGCTCACTGCTTGTCTGCTGTAGCCCCATCGCCCACCCTTCGTCAGCTTCTGCCTTTAGATCATAAGCCTGTCAGGGCAGGGAGTTGTAGAGAAACAGGCCCCTCAGGCTAATGATGGCCAGTCCCTTGGCTGCGGGATGCAGCGCCTTTCCTTCCCCTTCTGAGAACCCTTCAGGTCTCTGTCCCATTCATCTTCTGGAGATCCTCTGCCATGGGAAAGGGTCTGAGACATGAACAGGGCAGGGCTGATAAACATATTGATGCTAATTATAATATTTGCCCTCTCTCTAGGAACTCAGTCCCCTATTCGTTTTGAAGGATGGTAGAGGGGAATGAGGGCACACACAGAGCCCTCTGCATGGGGGAAATGGGGAACCTTGATATGGGGGAAATGGGGCACACACAGAGCCTCTGGCATGGAGAGGGGGAGAGTGGAGGACCGGTACCGGTATGGGGGTTGGAGGGCCATGGGTCAAGAGAGAATGGGGAGCATGTAGAGATCCCACCGGGGGGGGGGGGGGGGAAGGGGGGAAAAGGATGGGGGAGGGGGAAAAGGGGGGACATGCTGAACCCTGGCCATGTGGCAGATGGGGAGGAATGTGGGGCACATAGAACCCCAGACATGGGGTAAGAACTTGGGAGTCTGGGAGAGGGAAGAATAGAGGATACGTGGAGCCCCTGGCATGAGGACAGGGGATTGCAGGGTGTCCCTGAAAGAGGCGGATGGGAGGATGGCACACAGGATGCTTTCAGGGGCGGGAGAGGGGGAATGGAGGGAATCATGGAGCCCCGGTGTGTGCAATGTGCTTAGCCTAAAGAAACTACAAACCATGCAGCCCCTGACAATAGTAAAGCACTTGACAAATGCTAATGAGAGAAGCCCCCTATAAGTGTCCCCATGTTACATGTGGAGAAACTGAGGCACAGAAAGATGAAGTGACTCGCTCAAAAGTCACATAGGAAATGTGCGTCCAAGCTGGGAATAGAATCCCTAGCCTCCCAGTGCCTCCTCGTGTTCTCACCCCCTGTCCTGGCCATTCAACTCCACCTATTTCTGTTTTTCTCTTTCCCCTTCTTTCTTCTGAATTGCTGCAACATTTTGTCCTCCTGGCCTTCCTGTTGTGTAGAGGCCTGTACTGTATTCAGGACAGCAAAAATCCAACTCAGCCTGTGACAGAAACGTTTTTTCACACAAAAGGGGCACAGAGCGTGAATTAGTCCAAACAAAAAGGTCTGCTGATACTACCGAAGGGCTCTTTAGAGATTATGAGGGGTAAACAAGGGGAGAATGGCATCAGAACTTAATGAAACGATATTGGTGTGTTGGAAATTAGGCCTAATTGATGGACAAAATAATGAGGGGATGGGCTATCCACTTATCGCCCTCTTTTGGGGTTCTTTAAAAAGAGATTTGAGGGGCAATCAAAACAGGGGGATGGGTGGATTGAAAGGAATGAGCTTCACCATTCTGGCTGCCACCCTCGCTCTCCACCTTCTCCTGGGACCCCGGAATCCACCATGCCATTGTTAAGCTGTCATTGTCCTGGTCCTGAAAGGCATCCTAACCACACCAGGCCACAGAAAGGGAATCGATCACTTTGCCACCCCACCAGCTTCAGCTAAGTCCTGAACAACACCTGGAATGTGACCCTTGGTTGCCTCCTGTCACTCCCTCCCTCGGATGTCCTTTTCCTTCACCATCTGATTTTTTTCTCTTTCCTATCACTCTCGTTTGCTTTCTGTTTACTAACAGGCTGGCTTAGCTGGCCAAGACTGTCTCTTTTGCAGCACTGCTGTGAGTGCATGACCAGCGAGGCAGCTAAAAGCAATGTCTTAAACAGCCTGATGCTGGTATAAGTTTGTCAGGTCTTGTCCCAGCCATGCCTGTTTTCTCCAGTAGTGAGGCTGCAAGTGAGAGTCAACACCACAAACAGAAACTGCATTTTCTATCTTTGCTGTTCTTTTCTGTCCCCTTTTGAGTGTGTTTGTCTTGTTTTGGCTTAAAGGAAACAGGATCAGACTTCAACAACAGCAATATCGGCAGCTGCAGCTAGGGTAGCCAACACTGAATTTCAAAAATAAGGGGCTGTTTTCTTAGCACCCCTGCCCCACCCCGCCTCCATATACTCACCTACATTCGCCAAGGGTATTTCTTGCTGCTTTTTGCAGCCCTCAGTAACTCCCGATCTTATTGTACAGAGATAAAAAAAATAAGGGACGTCCCTTGGAATAAGGGACTGTTGGAAACCCTAGACTCTCAACTGTTTCTCTTTTCCTCACAAAGGACAGTTAATACCATCTAAGGACCAGGGGTGGCTCTATGTATTTCGACGCCCCAAGCACGCAGATTCGGTGGTATGCCTGTGGGAGTTCCTCCGGTCCCGCAGCTTCGGTGTACCCGCTGCCGAATTGCCACTGAAGCTGCGGGACCGGCAGACCTCCCGCAGGCATGCTGCCGAAGGCTTGGGGCGCTGGTGCCTGGAGCCGCCCCTGCTAAGGACAGTCAGACATGGGAGGTTCCTATAAAAGCTCCCTACAGCAAAAGAGAAAGGGAAGAAGAGATATTGTTAAAATGAAAGCCTCATTTAGTATTTTACATTTGAAATGCTTTAACTGTTTTTCCTTCTTTTTCTGTATCTTTAGTAAAAGCTTATACAGATTTTTAATGGTGGTTGTTGCCATGGAATTAAGCAGGCCAAGGTCTCTGTATTCAAAACCCCAAACAATGTTTAATTGTTTAGTGTAGTACAATGACCGAACCATGATAACATATTCGACTCTCTGGTCCATTTTATTCCATGAAAATTAACATAATACTTCCCAGTACCCATAGGAAACAATCTCTCTCCAACAAGGGCCCAGTGAAGAACTGAGGGATGCTGCTTGACTGAAGTGGAGAGAAGAGACTAGAGTTTCCTGGGGGATAAAGAAATGTCTTTGTTTAATTTGGGGATCCCCATTTCCATAGCTTCCAAAGGTTCAGTGTTTCCCAAATTGAACTCTGCAGAGTTGCTTCTGCTGAAGTAGCCATCGAACATCAGACACTCAGGCTTTCTGCTAGCCCAGATTTGGCTATTCTTAGGACTTCCAGTGGTTTTTTCAAAAGACCTCCAAAGCCCTTTCTGATAAAGAGGCCCAATTCTGAAAGCAGGCCCTCAGGTGGGGCCTGTCCAAGGCTGAATGGAAAGGTAGTGTTGGGACTCAAGGGCCCAGACCTGAGCAGAGTATCCAGGTGGAGTCTCCCCAAGAGCCATACAGAGAGGTGTTATCCCCTCCTTGCTCCAGGACATGAAGCCTCAGAGATTGAAGATCCCGGAGTGGAGCACAGTAACTCTGGTGATGTCTCCTCAGAGCCACATAGAGAGGAACTATTCCCTCACTACTCCAGAATGTGTATGGAGAATTCAGGACTGGGAGTAGCATGCTGGAAAGGAAGGTGTCTGTGAGACATTGATGATTGACAAGTACATCTCTGGTGTAAATCCACTGACCTCCCTGAACTTTGTGTATGTTGCACAATATGACTAAGTTTGAAAATCTGGCCCTGAGGCAGGTGAATGCGAGACGAGTCACTCCCCTCAGCTTGATTCCTAGACCTGGATCTGTGAAACAACCACTTCTCCTTGACAGCAGCTGCCAGTGAGGATCCAGACAGTACAGCTGTGGCTCATATAAAGGTCCCAGATGCTGCAGTGAGGTAGCATGAGCCACAGCTTTTAAAAGGCCTACAGCTATTAGCATGGGAGTGAGGGGGGAGATGGGTCATTTTAGTTGGGAACCTAGGTCTAGTCTGAGAAGAAAGGAGACTGCACACACAGGGAGGTGATTTGGTGATCCTTTAATGCAGTTAGATATTGTGAGTGATACAGAGAATACGTGAGTCGGAAGTCAGTGAGCCGCTGTTGTCCCAGTGAGGAGAAGGAGCAGCCCCTCTTCTATTGGTTGGCCAGGCTCTGAACCTAGTCCTTGTGGACCAGCAATTACCCTCTATTGCCCCCACTGATGGGTTTCAGCCTCAGAGCTATCATGCGGATGGGGCATGGCTAGCTTCTCTCTGAAAACCAAGGAATTTGAGCAAAGAATATGATGGGTAAAGGTAAAAGGGGGCCTCTTTACCCAGCATGCTCTCTGCTCCTGCCCTGGCAATTCCAGTGAAGGAAGGAAGAGAGATGATGTAGTTACAATGGAATAGATAACACATTGTTTCTGACTCCCTACTCTGGCACAGCCAGAATGCAGTTGGGCTGTTGCACAAAGAGTCGATGGGATCAAAGGGCAGCCAATCTGCTGGGACATGTGACCTCAACACCTGGTGAGATGTCAGTGCCCTAGGGTGAGAAGGATCTATCTGTGTGATCCCTCTGCCTCCTCATATCGGCTCATGGTCCCTATGATCCAGTCCCGGTAGCGCCCCACTCTGGTGTAAAGGCCATATGTGCCACACCATTGTCCCCAGGAGACCAGGCCACCCACATAGTACTGTCTGTCATTGTGGGGGTCTTTGATAGCATAGGCTCCGCCACCGTCCCCGGAACAGCTGTCCTTTGTGCCATCTCCAGCACAGACCATGTTGTCAGTGAATTGGAAAGTGATGTAATCAGCAGGTGGCTTCGGCTTCACACTACGGCATTGTGCCATGTCCACCACGGGGATCTGCGCCTTCATGAGATGGTAAACTCTGTTTCGGTCCTCTGTCCGGCCCCAGCCAGATATGTAGCCCAGTCTGCCTTTCTCCAGCTCATATTCTGGGGAACCACCAGGGAGGCAGAGTGGTGAGATCTTGGGGCCCATCTTCACAGGTGCCGTCAGCCTCAGCAGTGCAATGTCATTATCAAAATTTGTCCGAGCTTCTGGGTTTACCATCTTTGTCCAGTTAGGGTGAATGAACACTTCTTCTTCAAACAGCTGTATGGGCTCCTCCCTCTGGAGCTGTTGGTTGATGTTGGTTACCCCAGCATACATTGTGGGCTTGCTATTTGAATCATCCAGCATATGAGCTGCAGTCAGCACCCAGAGGTCCGAAATAAGTACCCCACCTCCCCGTGGGTTTTGGAATAAGACCTGCCAGGGGAAGTTGCCTGGCTTAGCACGGGTGCCCCCAAAAATCCTCTGCAGCTCCAGGATGGGTGTACTGGGGATCCCACAGACTAGAAGGGAAATAAAAAGGGAGAATTACCACTTGCTAGTAGGGTGGTTAACTGTGCATCACTAAAAACCCCATAGTCCTCTCTCTCCTGTCTCCTTGACATCACCCTGGTTCAGAGTAGCCTCTTTCCATGGCATTTCTATGTCAAATAATCTGCATCCAAAGTTTACAGAAAAGAAAAACTAAGGAACAGGGTTGTCAAACGATTACAAAAATAATCACAATTAATTGTGAGTTTAAAAAAATAGTCGCGAATAATCGCAGTTTTAATCGAACTGTTAAACAATGATAGAATAGCAATTTAAATATATTATAAATATTTTGGATGTTTTTCTACATTTTCAATATATTGATTTCAATTACAACACAGAATACAAAGTGTACACTGCTCACTTTATATTATTATATTTGATTACAAATAGTTTGCACTGTAAAAAAGATAAAAGAAATAGTATTTGTCAATTCATTTCATACAAGTACTGTAGTGCAATCTCTTTATTGTGGAAATGCAGCTTACAAATACAGAATTTTCTTTTACATAACTGCACTCAAAACCAAAACAATATAAAACTTTAGAGCCAGAAGTCCACTCAGTCCTACTTCTTGTTCAGCCAATCGCTAAGACAAACACGTTTGTTTACATTTACTGGAGATAATGCTGCCTGCTTCTTATTTACAATATCACCTGAAAGTGAGAACAGGTGTTCGCATGGCATTGTTGTAATATAAAGTGAGCACTATACGCTTTGTATTTTGTGTTGTAAATGAAGTCAATATATTTGAAAATGTAGAAAAACATCCAAAATATTTATAATATATTTAAATTGGTATTCTATTATTGTTTAACAGTGTGATTAAAAGTGCAATTTATCGCAACTATTTTTAAAAATTTCAATAATTTGTTTTGCGTTAATTGCTTGAGTTAAATGTGAATAATTGACAGCCCATACTAAGCAAATTTGGAAATAAAAAGTTTGTTAACATCAGTGAAGTATAAAAATGCCCATCCTTAAATTGTTCGCATTGCTGTTGAAGTCATGTTGGTTGAAGAAGAACTCAGTGTAGCTCAAAAGCTTGTACCTTCCACCAACAAAAATGGGTCCTCACCCACCTTGTCTCCTATGCATCCTCAAATTCTAATGTAAGAACTCAAGAAATTCACAGTTAAAGTCATCCAAACAGGCTCAGTTCTGCTCTTTTATCACTGCCAAGCTCATATCGTCCATCCACTGTACCCATCATTCTTGTTTTGCAATATATTCCCTTAAATGAAGGATTTCTTTGTGAAGGAGTTTGGTAAAGGTCTTAGAAAGAATTAAATCAGACAAACCCACTCTTTTGGAGAATTTATACATGGACTCTAGACAGTCTGAAGTATAATGCACTGGTTTTACACATACTGTAGTTGTCTTTGATCTTTTGCCATCACACTCTTCCCTGCTTGTGGTATGTAAATCCTATAGTGTAGGGGCATTGGTTAGGAGGGTCACAGGCAATGAGTCTCATGGATGCAGTGAAGCTGTGTGTTCTTTGAGGATAAAGTTGACTGTGAGATTCAGCTTATTCTGTGATAATTCAAGGGCCCACACGTAAGGCTGCTCACATTATGATAATCTGTGAAGTCTGACTTTCCATCTTTTGTGGATTTTATTCAATTAAAGTTAATGTCCCTAGTTTAGAATGTTAGGTTGTACAATTGCCAGACTACAGTGTCCAACTTCACTGAAACTTAATTCATTGTTCTGTCATGGAATTTCCTTAGTTTTATTTTTTAAAACATGTTTCAGGAGTTGCCCTTTGACAGGAGTCTATGCAGAAATTGCAAGGTTCATGTCACAGAGTGGGCTGGCCCTTTCAGGGGGGCTGGCTCAGCCCCACCAGTGCCTATTTATCCACCTCCCAGATGGTGAGTTTGAGCTGGACCTGGTGGTTGGTTCAGGTGACCAGGCATCATATACCTGTAGCGACGAGGTGGTGCTTCCTCTCAGAAGGAGCCTGGTGAATGAGTCACAGGTGAGAGACCTACAGGAGACCCAGAGAGCACTAGGGAAGAAGCTCTCCATACTAGCTAGAGGGAAAGGCCTGGTTGGAGCTAACTGCAGCAAGGGGCAGGAGCAACTCCCCCTTAAGGGGGAATTAGAGGCCCTGAGAAAGGATATTCAAGTTAGTCTGGCCAGGAGAGTATTGAAGCGTATTTATGCTTTCTTAGGGGTCTAGGCTGGGCTTTCCAGTGCAGGTGGGTGAAGTCCCCTGTCTATTGCCCTGCTCCAACAGCACATAATGGACTGCTGAGCCCAGGAGGGGGCTACAAGTGAAGTTACATACAAGAGAGGGTGAAAAGTTTATGTGGCCTGGTGAGGATGCACCTGACTAAACTGGGGAAGACCCAGCGTGAGGTTGCTAGACATCTGTTTTGGTTTTTAGACTTTTTTTGTTTACCTGCTGGAAGGGGATGAATTTTAATTTGTCTGAAGGGCTAAAACATGAGAACCAGCATAGCCAATAGTAGGGAAACTGAGGAGGTAGCAGGGTCCAATACTGGCTGTGGCGAGACCCTGTTCTGGTTCACTAGAAGACTGGTAGAGCTTATGTACTTCCCAGCTTCCTTCTGCTGCCCCCTCTGATCTTTCTCAGGAACCCACTGATCTCAGAAACATCCAATCTAATGTGACTCAAATTACCCAGTCAAATTCTACCCTGGAAAAGGAAGCAGCAATTTTTCAGGCAGATTGGTTCAGCTTTCTTTAAATTAGAGAGAAGTGGTGGAGAGAAAACTGACTTATAATGGTGATTGGGTCACCACAAAACAAACACACACACACACACACACACAAAGTTCTTTGTGATACCTGGGACACACGCTGGAAGCTCTGTTCCCATCTCTTCGCTCACCCATTTCCTGCTGGCTGAACACCGATAAACCACTTGGAAAACACACAGAAGCATGGAAAGGATTTCAGTACAAAACATCATGAGAATGTGACAAACGACTCTGGGGAACTGGTTTTCTTAGATTCTGTGGCCAGAAGGGATGACTGTGATCACCTAGTCCGATCTCCTGCAAAACACAGGGCACAGGACTTCCCTTAATTTATTAATTCCTGTGTGAGTTACAGCAGATCTTTTAGGAAAACATCCAATCTTGATTTTAAAATCGTCAGTGATGGAGAATTCACAATGGCCCTTGGTCAGTTGTTCCAATGGATTAGTTTCCCACCCTGTTAAAAATTTGACTTATTTCCAGTATGAATTTGTCTAGCTTCAATTTCCAACCATTGAATCTTGTTATACTTTTGTATGTGAGACTGAAGAGTCTATTATCAAATTTCTGTTTCCCATGTAGGTACTTATAGACTGAGATCAAGTCACCCGTTAACCTTCTCTTTCTTAAATTAAATAGATTGAACTCCTTGAGACTAAAACTATATGGCGTGTTTTCCAAACTTTTAATCATTCTCATTCTCATCATCGGCATCGTAGTCGGGATGCACAGACACGTTGCGGACGGGGTGGTTACCCATCTCGTGGATCTTATTCACCTCTGTGTGGCCAAGGAACACGTTGATCTTCTCAGCCACCTCGTCAGGGCTCATCCTAACACCTGTCTCTGTCACTGAGCTGTGTTGCTTGGGGTAGATGATGTTAGCAGCTGTCAGGATCCAGCGGTCACCCAGCGGTGCCCCACCCCGAAGCCCAAAGACGTGTGTCTTCGCCTGCCATGGGAAGCTTCCCGGCGGTGCTGTGCTGCCACCGATGATCCGCTGGATTCCAGTGATGGATTTGTCTGGCTTCCCACACACTGTGGGGAGGGACAGGAACCGAAGAGGCTGTTACATGCTCTCTTCCCCTGCTCTCTCTCTCGTCTCCCTATAGCTTTCAGTTCCCTGCTTCCCTGCTCTCCTGCTGCCTTTCCATCTGGATTTCTCCATCTCCTGCACTGCCACCTCCCTCACAGACAGTCCCACATTACTGTCAGCTCCACTTCTCCCTCTCTCTCCATAAGAACATAAGAAAGGCCGTATCGGGTCAGACCAAAGGTCCATCTAGCCCAGTATCCTGTCTACCAACAGTGGCCAATGCCAGGTGCCCTAGAGGGAGTGAACCTAACAAGCAATGATCAAGTGATCTCTCTCCTGCCATCCATCTCCACCCTCTGACAGACAGAGGCTAGGGACACCATTCCTTACCCGTCCTGGCTAATAGCCATTAATGGACTTAACCACCATGAATTTATCCAGTTCTCTTTTAAACTCTGTTATAGTCCTAGCCTTCACAACCTCCTCAGGCAAGGAGTTCCACAGGTTGACTGTGCACTGTGTGAAGAAGAACTTCCTTTTATTTGTTTTAAACCTGCTGCTTATTAATTTCATTTGATGACCCCTAGTTCTTGTATTATGGGAATAAGTAAATAACTTTTCCTTATCCACTTTCTCCACATCACTCACGATTTTATATACCTCTATCATATCCCCCCTTAGTCTCCTCTTTTCCAAGCTGAAGAGTCCTAGCCTCTTTAATCTCTCCTCATATGGGACCCGTTCCAAACCCTTAATCATTTTAGTTGCCCTTTTCTGAACCTTTTCTAGTGCCAGTATATCTTTTTTGAGATGAGGAGACCACATCTGTACGCAGTATCGAGATGAGGGCGTACCATTGATTTATATAAGGGCAATAATGTATTCTCAGTCTTATTCTCTATCCCCTTTTTAATGATTCCTAACATCCTGTTTGCTTTTTTGACCGCCTCTGCACAATGCGTGGACATTTTCAGAGAACTATCCACGATGACGCCAAGATCTTTTTCCTGACTTGTTGTAGCTAAATTAGCCCCCATCATATTGTACGTATAGTTGGGGTTATTTTTTCCAATGTGCATTACTTTACATTTATCCACATTAAATTTCATTTGCCATTTTGTTGCCCAATCACTTAGTTTTGTGAGATCTTTTTGAAGTTCTTCACAGTCTGCTTTGGACTTAACTATCTTTAGCAGTTTAGTATCATCTGCAAACTTTGCCATCTCACTGTTTACCCCTTTCTCCAGATCATTTATGAATAAGTTGAATAGGATCGGTCTGAGGACTGACCCTTGGGGAACACCACTAGTTACCCTTCTCCATTCTGAGAATTTACCATTAATTCCTACCCTTTGTTCCCTGTCTTTTAACCAGTTCTCAATCCATTAAAGGACCTTCCCTTTTATCCCATGGCAGCTTAATTTACATAAGAGCCTTTGGTGAGGGACCTTGTCAAAGGCTTTCTGGAAATCTAAGTACACTATGTCCACTGGATCCCCCTTGTCCACATGTTTGTTGACCCCTTCAAAGAATTCTAATAGATTAGTAAGACACGATTTCCCTTTACAGAAACCATGTTGACTATTGCTCAACAGTTTATGTTTTTCTATGTGTCGGACAATTTTATTCTTAACTATTGTTTCGACTAATTTGCCTGGTACAGACGTTAGACTTACCGGTCTGTAATTGCCGGGATCACCTCTAGAGCTCTTTTTAAATATTGGCGTTACATTAGCTAACTTCCTGTCATTGGGTACAGAAGCCGATTTAAAGGACAGGTTACAAACCTTAGTTAACAATTCCGCAACTTCACATTTGAGTTCTTTCAGAACTCTTGGGTGAATGCCATCTGGTCCCGGTGACTTGTTAATGTTAAGTTTATCAATTAATTCCAAAACCTCCTCTCGTGACACTTCAATCCGTGACAGTTCCTCAGATTTGTCACCTACAAAAGCCAGCTCAGGTTTGGGAATCTCCCTAACAACCTCAGCCGTGAAGACTGAAGCAAAGAATCCATTTAGTTTCTCCGCAATGACTTTATCGTCTTTAAGCGTTCCTTTTGTATCTCGATCATCAAGGGGCCCCACTGGTTGTTTAGCAGGCTTCCTGCTTCTGATGTACTTAAAAAACATTCTGTTATTACCTTTGGAGTTTTTGGCTAGCCGTTCTTCAAACTCCTCTTTGGCTTTTCTTATTACATTCTTGCACTTAATTTGGCAGCGTTTATGCTCCTTTCTATTTGCCTCACTAGGATTTGACTTCCACTTTTTAAAGGAAGTCTTTTTATCTCTCACTGCTTCTTTTACATGGTTGTTAAGCCACAGTGGCTCTTTTTTAGTTCTTTTACTGTGTTTCTTAATTTGGGGTATACATTGAAGTTGGGCCTCTATTATGGTGTCTTTAAAAAGCGCCCATGCAGCTTGCAGGGATTTCACTTTAGTCACTGTACCTTTTAACTTCTGTTTAACTAACCCCCTCATTTTTGCATAGTTCCCCCTTTTGAAATTAAATGCCACAGTGTTGGGCTGTTGAGATCTTCTTCCCACCACAGGGATGTTGAATGCTATTGTATTATGGTCACTATTTCCAAGCGGTCCTGCTATAGTTACCTCTTGGACCAGCTCCTGCGCTCCACTCAGGACTAAATCTAGAGTTACCTCTCCCCTTGTGGGTTCCCGTACCAGCTGCTCCATGAAGCAGTCATTTAAAGTATCGAGAAATTTTATCTCTGCATTTCGTCCTGAAGTGAAATGTTCCCAGTCAATATGGGGATAATTGAAATCCCCCACTATTATTGAGTTCTTAATTTTGATAGCCTCTCTAATTTCCCTTAGCATTTCATCATCACTATCACCGTCCTGGTCAGGTGGTCGATAATAGATCCCTAATGTTATATTCTTATTAGAGCATGAAATTTCTATCCATAGAGATTCTATGGAACATGCGGATTTGCTTAAGATTTTTACTTCATTTGATTGTACATTTTCTTTCACATATAGTGCCACTCCCCTCGCCGCACGACCTGTTCTGTCCTTCCGATATATTTTGTACCCCGGAATGATTGTGTCCCATTGATTGCTCTCAGTCCACCAGGTTTCTGTGATGCCTATTATATCAATATCCTCCTTTATCACAAGGCACTCTAGTTCACCCATCTTATTATTTAGACTTCTAGCATTTGTGTACAAGCACTTTAAAAACTTGTCACTGTTTATTTGTCTACCCTTTTCTGATGTATCAGATTCTTTTTTATGTGAATGTTTATCGTCTGATCTGGCCCCTACTTTATCCTCTTCCATCCTCTGCTCCTGACTATAACCTGGAGATTCTCTATCATTAGACTCTCCCCTAAGAGAAGTCTCTGTCCGATCCACATGCTCCTCTGCAGCAGTCGGCTTTCCCCCATCTCCTAGTTTAAAAACTGCTCTACAACCTTTTTAATGTTTAGTGCCAGCAGTCTGGTTCCACTTCGGTTTAGGTGGAGCCCATCCTACCTGTATAGGCTCCCCCCATTCCAGAAGTTTCCCCAGTTCCTAATGAATGTAAACCCCTCCTCTCTACACCATCGTCTCATCCACGCATTGAGACTCTGAAGCTCTGCCTGCCTACCTGGCCCTGCGCGTGGAACTGGGAGCATTTCTGAGAATGCCACCATAGAGGTCCTGGATTTCAGTCTCTTCCCTAGCAGCCTAAATTTGGCCTCCAGGACATCTCTCCTACCCTTCCCTATGTCATTGGTACCTACATGTACCATGACCACCGGCTCCTCCCCAGCACTACACATAAGTCTGTCTAGATGCCTCGAGAGATCCACAACCTTCGCACCAGGCAGGCAAGTCACCATACGGTTCTCCCAGTCATCACAATCCCAGCTATCTACGTTTCTAATGATCGAATCTCCCAATACTAATACCTGCCTTTTCCTAGCAACTGGAGTTCCCTCCCCTGGAGAGGTAACCTCAGTGCGAGAGGCAACCCCAGCACCATCTGGAAGGAGGGTCCCAACTATGGGAAGGTTTCCCTCTGCTCCCGTTGACTGCTCTGCTTCCCTGGGCCTTTCATCTTCCTCAACAGCGCAGGGGCTGTCTGACCGGAGGTGGGACAATTCTACAGTGTCCCGGAAAGCCTCATCAACATACCTCTCTGCCTCCCTTAGCTCCTCCAGTTCCGCCACCCTTGCCTCCAGAGTCCGTACATGGTCTCTGAGGGCCAGGAGCTCCTTGCACCAAATGCACACATACGCCACTCGCCCACAGGGCAGGTAATCATACATGCTACACTCAGTGCAATAAACTGGATAGCCCCCACTCTGCAGCTGGGCTTCTGCCTGCATTGTCTCCTAGTTAATGAAGGGGTTGTTTAAAGCAAGAAGTTTTGAATGTAGTTTGGGCTATAGGTTTTAAGGGGAGTAAAGGGTATAAGATAGAACCGGCAAGAGACCCGCGCTCCCTTCCTGCGCCCCTTCCAAACTCCCTGTTAGCAGCCCCTGGTCGCTTGTGCGCTGCTTTATAAAGCCCTGGCCTGGGTGAATGCCCCGCCCACTGATTAAGGCTCAGCCAATTACCAGAGGCTTCTAGCCTTCAGACCTTCCTTTGAAGCTCACAGCTTCCAACTGCCAGCCACAGCACACGGTCCTTCAAACAACCAAACAAACAAACAGACTGACAAACACAAGCTCAGCACACAGCAAGTAACCCCCAAACACAAACAAACACACACTACAGACAGTCACTTACCCCAAGGGTCCTGTATTTGCTCCTCCTTCACCTGGAGAACTCCCTTGCGAAACTCCCTGTTAGCAGCCCCTGTTCGCAAAAGCGTTCTTATGTTCTTATGACTAGACAGGGGGTGGGGGAAATGTGAGGATCTTTGTAAGTGTCTGAGGGGTTCAAGCCTCTGAAGACTTTTTGGGAGGGAGGGAGGCAGGGGGAGGTGAGAATAGGTTGAGACTGAGCCAAGGCAAAGGAGCTCAAGAGTCTTCCCCCTGCACTGTGAGCCTAGGGAGTCATCTCCCAAAGTGGGGCCAGAGCCCCATTCCAGAGCACAGGGAACTAGGAGCCATGGGGAATGGATAGGGGGATGCTTCTAGCCTAGGCCCAAGGGGCTGCGTGGGGAGATGGGATCTGAGGGAGTGTAGCAG